CGCTAATACCTAGGTTACACCGTTGATACCTAGGGTACACCGTTAATACCTAGGTTACACCGTTAATACCTAGGTTACACCGTTAATACCTAGGTAACACTTTTAATACCTAGGTAACACTGTTAATACCTAGGTTACACTTTTAATACCTACGTTACACCGTTAATACCTAGGTAACACTGTTAATACCTAGGTTACACCGTTAATACCTATATAACACTGTTAATACCTAGGTTACACTGTTAATACCTAGGTTACACTGTTAATACCTAGGTTAAACCGTTAATACATGTACCTTGGTTACATCGTTTATACCTAGGTAACACTGTATATACCCAAGTAACACCGTTTGTACCTAGGAGACAACGTTAATACCTAGGTTACACCGTTAATACCTATATAACACTGTTAATACCTAGGTCACACTGTTAATACCTAGGTTACACCGCTAATGCCTAGGTCACACTGTATATGCCTAGGTAACACTGTTAATACCTAGGTTACACTGCTAATACCTAGGTCACACTGTTAATACCTACGTTACACCGCTAATACCTAGGTCACACCGGTAATACCTAGGTAACACTGTTAATACCTAGGTTACACCGTTAATACCTATGTTACACTGTTAATACCTAGGTTACACCGTTAATACCTAGGTTACACCGTTAATACCTATATAACACTGTTAATACCTAGGTCACACTGTTAATACCTAGGTTACACCGCTAATAGCTAGGTCACACCGGTAATACCTAGGTCACACTGTTAATACCTACGTTACACCGCTAATACCTAGGTCACACTGTATATGCCTAGGTAACACTGTTAATACCTAGGTTACACCGTTAATACCTAGGTAACACTGTTAATACCTAGGTTACACCGCTAATACCTAGCTCACACCGGTAATACCTAGGTCACACTGTTAATACCTAGGTTACACCGCTAATACCTAGGTCACACTGTATATGCCTAGGTAACACTGTTAATACCTAGGTTACACTGTTAATACATAGGTTACACCTCTAATATCTAGGCAACACTGTATATACCTAGGTAACACCGTTTATACCCAAGTAACACCGTTTGTACCTAGGAGACAACGTTAATACCTAGGTAACACTGTTTGTACCTAGGAGACAACTTTAATACCTAGCTAACACTGTTTGTACTTAGGAGACAACGTTAATACCTAGGTTACACCGTTAATACCTAGATAACACTTGTAATACCTAGGTAACACTGTTAATACCTAGGTTACACTGTTAATACCTAGGTTACACCGCTAATACCTAGGTAACACTGTTAATACCTAGGTTACACCGTTAATACCTAGGTTACACCGTTAATACATGTACCTTGGTTACATCGTTAATACCTTGGCAACACCGTTTATACCCAGGTAACACTGTTTGTACCTAGGAGACAACGTTAATACCTAGGTAACACCTTTGATACCTAGGTTACACCGTTAATACCTAGGTTACACCGTTAATACCTAGGTTACACAACATGCGTTTATTAAAAGAAAATATTCTTCATTAAACTCTGGATGGTCGATAGTATAACGGAAAGCGCACTCGTTTTTTTAACAAAATTGACGGGGTTCGATTCCCGATTGGACGTGAATAGGTATTTGGTCACCTGCCCGATCACGTTGGTTTTCATCTGTGATTAATATAAGTTGGAAAAAGTTGTTTCATAATTGTTTTAAAATGAATAAAGTTTATATATACGTTACATCTTATTATGATACAATGTCGTGCGTGATGTAATGACATAAGCCTTCCCTGCTGTACATAACTTATCATTATTGCTCCTGTATGTAAAACAGATACCTGGAATCGTGACGTCATATCTATACCACATGTGGTACAGGAAACACTTAAACTTCCGGTGCTTCTGGTTTCTCTTCCGGCTTTTTGTCAGTGTTTTGTAATGTCTTCCGGTCAATGTGATTTTCTAGAGATATATAAAAACTTTCCTATGTCTATGTCGCCTCAGTTCCTGGTCTCATTCCATATTGAACTGAGTTCCGAAATTGTCCCGGTGTGTTGACGTTTTAAATTATTTGTCTTGTTCAACATGACATGCTTGTAATTACTAAAATTAACAATGACATAGACTGTAATTTATGTCCAAGTCGCTGACTATGTGCATATGCAGTTTGCACACGACCGACATTCTGTTCTATAATCCACTTTAAAAAGATTCCTGATACTGACCAGGTGTTTTGTCTGCACCGTCGTATCAGAAGTCACGAACATACATTATCTGACATCGCCTATAATGTAAGCACAATATTTCTTAAACACTTAAAACGAAATATAACATATGGAAAGATATCGGAACAAATCAAATGAAATATATACTACAGCGTCACCATACTATAACAAAGTCATACACTAGAAATAGGGGAGGCACCAAAACAACAGAATAGCTTCATTTACCTCCCCTAGATAGATGGTAACCGGGGCATGTTTAGCTGCGTCGTAATATTTTTCATAAGTAGATTTTTATGTATTTGCTTGGTTTTTAACCTTGCAAATTACTACAAATTCTAACAGATGACTAGTAGCTGGAATCTGTTGAAATTTCATAATCGATAGTTGGATTAACAATAATTTATAATCCGTGTGATATTATTCTGTTTCAATTGATAACTCTTTCCCTTTGACTATGTATTGGGATAAATGTACCGCAATAAATTCTGTCTTTATTGCAGTATACTTCAGGCGTATTGTGACACCCCTAATTACATGTGATCGTTGTACCCGGCCGGATCTCCTCCTCTCTCCGACAGTTTTTTGAATTTTAAATTATATTTTTGACGTTGAGTATTCTCGATGTGTAATATTTCCATTCATTTCAACTCTACTGTTTAAGCATCATGCTTTTAATATGCACAGTCAAGGGCTGGTGTCCTTTTACGTTCATGTGTGCATATTGTGAAACAGTTTCTTTGTGGATAACTTTAAGAAAATGAATTCCAGGTATAACTTCACTATTTTTGCCTCCTACATCGCTGAAATGATATATGCATGTCCGGTTTACTAACGATGGTATTTCCTGTTTGCAATTTCAATAGACGGTTAATGTGTATTAGCTGAGCAATGAAGGAGAAGGTGTCGATGTATCATTAATTTGATGAATTTGATCCCCGTACCACCGCCAAAAACTGTAGCTACACATTGGAAACTGGGTGTTTCCCCCGGAATGACTATAGTTTTGATAAATCATTTCTGAGACTTTCTAAAACAAACCCATAAAGATGAATAAACCCAACTATAAACAACAACTCCTCTGAGTGTAAAAATGCAGCTGACGCTAGACCGGGATTCGAACCATTGACCCGAGATTGTTTTGCTGTCGTTTTGACCGACTGAGCTACTGTACCTTGGTAAAGTTATATCCAACACGAAATTAAGGGAAGGCTACTGTTATACGAAAAACTACTTGGCAGTAGGACAGGGATCTTTAAAATGTTGTATTTTCATTGTCAATTTGAAAAAGACAGATTTTGTACAAGATATATATGTTCAAGTTATATATGTATATATCTTAACTATATATGCTTTAGATACATGTATTTGTGTTATGTGTAGAAATAATCTGTTTTAGTGAGAAGCGCATGTAATTAAACTTCCTGATCAAGTGCAATAACTGGTTTTGATTAAGGTATTAATATCAAATATACATGTAGTACCATTGCCGGCTTCATTTGGAGTTCAATTTTATAATCTGTCATACGAATCATAATTGTGCTGGTATATGTAAATAATGTAACAATATTTCAAGCATAACATTGTATTTGTTTGTGTTTTACGCCCTATTAACAGCTATGGCCATTTAAGGACATGCCAGGTTTTGGTGGTGGTGGAAAGTCGGAATTCCCGGAAAACCCCCCACCGACCAACGGCCAGTACCTGGCGACTGCCCCACGTATACGCCTCGAACCCGCGACCCAGTGGTGAAGGGCTAGTAGTAGCAGAATGGCAAATGTCTCTTAGACAGAACAAATAAACCGAAATATCAGTATTGTTTTAGTCTCATTGAAATACCAGGGCAATACAAGTGTCGAAATATCACACATTTGATAAATACCTATGTGTTAGACACCAACAGGAATAATGTGTCATTTAACATTGATTTAGGTAGAAATCAGACTTCACCATTTAAAATTTAGTATAGATATAAATTAGACTCCGGTATCATTTGAGAGACGTTTAGATGAATACAAGTGATGTGTAGGTTTTATATATCGGAGCCATGATATCATTTGGAATTATTGTGAATCATGAAATTCGCCGTTTTAATAATGCTCAACGATTGCTTTATGGCTTCTTGCGGTTCTATTTTTGAGGACCTGACATTACTTAGTCTCGTTCAACCAGACTCTTGTTGTCTGTGCAAGCTACGCCGACCAGAGATTACAAGCGATCAAGGGTCTGGTTGAACTAGACTAGACATTACAATAGGTCTACATGTCGGGTATTGTCAATGAAGCAGAAAATCCTATCCATCCACAACACCTTTAGGCCCTATTCACGAAACCCTTCCCAAACCAATGTTCTTGTTACTCAATAAAATCGTGCTATATGATCACAAAGTCAAGTGTTCACATAGGAAATAGTAGTCGGCTTAAAGTTTCTCAAAAAAATCTTCCAAATCATTTACGAGATGTCATTTTGTTATTATTCTATGACAAGAACAAGAAATAGGACTTCAGAACAGAATTTACACGAGAACGGTTTCATGAATAAGTGTCTTGTCTTTTATTTTTTTACTTATTGTACTTTTCAATTATCTGTATTACTTATATTTGTATATACATGTAAATACTCCATGTCTATGTATTTATACTCTTATGTAAATAGTCCATATTTGTGTTCTTATAGCTACGTATAAATAGCCCGTCTGCGATCACTTGCAGTAAAGAAATAGAAGCAGTTCTTTTATTCGTTCAATGACTGTTGTAAATAAAACAAGAAAAAATGTATCGTTCGATCTTTTAATGAATGATTGAGTAGGTAACTCGTTCGTTCATCGTTAAAATAACAAAATGAAAATAACAAAATATTGCAATACGGTAAAACCATGGATATCTTGCTGTTCATAATTGCACATATATTCCCATTTTATTATAGTCATAATGTTGTATTATTTGTCAATGTTTTTGTTGTAGTTGTTGATATCATGCCTTGGTGTTTGTTTCTTCTGATATCTGTCCTCTTGTTGATTCTTATTTAGTTCTCTACGCATACATAAAGATAATTGTATCAGAATTCAAAATTCTGTCGACTCTTTCTAGATGTTAAAATCAAGCTTTGAAATCAGATGGATTAGATTTCTGTTAAAAGTTCTCAAAGTTTCAAGGGTTCAAAGCATTTAAGCCTCTTCCTCTCCCTCTTCCTCCTCGAACTCTCCCTCCTCCTCGGCTGTGGCATCCTGGTACTGTTGGTACTCAGACACCAAGTCGTTCATGTTGGACTCAGCCTCTGTGAACTCCATCTCGTCCATACCCTCACCAGTGTACCAATGCAAGAAAGCCTTACGACGGAACATAGCGGTGAACTGCTCGGAGATACGCTTGAACAGCTCCTGGATGGCGGTGCTGTTACCAATGAAGGTACCAGACATCTTGAGACCACGTGGTGGGATATCGCAGACGGCAGTCTTGACGTTGTTGGGGATCCATTCAACGAAGTAGCTGCTGTTCTTGTTCTGGACGTTCAACATCTGTTCATCGACCTCCTTCATGGACATACGTCCACGGAACATGGCGGCGACGGTCAGATAACGTCCGTGACGAGGATCACAGGCAGCCATCATGTTCTTGGCGTCGAACATCTGCTGGGTCAGCTCAGGGACGGTAAGAGCCCTGTACTGCTGGCTACCACGAGATGTGAGAGGAGCGAAACCAGGCATGAAGAAATGGAGACGGGGGAAGGGCACCATGTTGACAGCCAATTTACGGAGATCGGCGTTCAGTTGACCGGGGAATCGGAGACAGGTGGTGACACCGGACATGGTGGCGGAGACAAGATGGTTCAAGTCACCGTATGTGGGTGTGGTCAGCTTGAGGGTACGGAAACAAATATCGTAGAGAGCTTCGTTGTCGATACAATATGTTTCATCTGTGTTCTCAACAAGCTGATGGACGGAAAGGGTGGCATTGTATGGTTCGACTACGGTGTCGGAAACCTGAAAATTAAATAAAGAAGCAATGTTTAATCGAAATGAGATGTGTACAAGTCAATGATAATTTCAACAAATGAGAGTTTAATGAGATTTATTAATCTGCGGTGAACTTATGCTTTTTGTCTTATTTCAGCAATTCTTTTATAATTAATGAAAAGTTTACCTTTGGTGATGGTACAACTGAGAATGTGTTCATGATCCTGTCGGGGTATTCTTCACGGATTTTTGAGATGAGGAGTGTTCCCATGCCGGAGCCGGTACCACCACCAAGAGAATGTGTAAGTTGGAATCCCTGAAGACAGTCACAACTTTCTGATTCTTTTCGCACAACATCAAGAACAGAGTCTACAAGCTCAGCACCTTCTGTGTAATGTCCCTTAGCCCAGTTGTTTCCAGCACCACTCTGTCCGAACACAAAGTTGTCTGGTCTGAAGATTTGTCCAAAAGGACCAGATCGCACTGAATCCATGGTTCCGGGCTCCAAGTCAACCAGCACAGCTCTTGGTACATATTTGCCTCCTGAAAAATATACAAAAATAAGCAAATCTTGCATCAAATATGCCAATGCCCTAATATTTATTAATATAAGAAACTGTACTGATCCATTTTAATGTGCTTTAAATAGTGAAAAAAGAGATGATTTGTTATTATATTTATGTACCTCCTCTGCTCTATAATCAATAATGAACGAACGTATTAAGTACCTGTGGCTTCATTGAAGTACACGTTGATCCTCTCCAACTGAAGGTCAGAATCTCCGTGGTATGTACCGGTGGGGTCAATTCCGTGTTCATCGGAAATAACTTCCCAGAACTGAAATTAAGCAAAATATAAACTTTAATATGAATAACTGTTGATGACAAAAAGTGGTTTTTTGGCTAAATATACAAAATTGAATACATTTCAGCAACACACCCTTCCTCGACAGTCACGTGTTCACGGTCCCATATCTACCCTACTTAAATTGCCATGTTCCGGTAAGACGATAAGGTGAGTGGAAACCCTTGTACGACTGTCGCTAGCAGGCGACACCTTTATTTAAACGCGTTGACCTGATATAATCATCAGGTATTTTCGTTCCCAGTGAATGAACACCACTGTTACTACACTCACCGAGACATTTAAATCTATTGTGTGTGGTTACTAAGATCACGTGATCATGTTACCTGTGTGTTTATTGCCGTCGGTATGCAAGTTTGTGTAAAAGTGGGAGGTGGGCGGCCCATATGCCCTGTTATTTTTATCTTATCAATGGGTACTTCAAACAACCGCCAAAAGGAAGAATTTTAAATTCTATAACCGTTTTATATCAGAGAATGATGGGACTACATGTATATACGCAACTCGATGATCGCTTAAAAATTATATTTTATTTAAATAAAAAGACGGATAAGCTTAACCATGTTAGATACTACGGAATCGTTTTTCATAACTGGCATAATTCAAATATATAAAAAGAAGTGCCCACAACATTACTACTTAGTACAGGGTTGTTCGGTAATTTGGTTGTGAAGGGAACTTTCATGATACGAACATATATTTCCCAAATTACAACAAAAATGAAGATATCTAAAATTCTTACCATAAACAATTTATTCAAAGGCTAGTATCACGTGATCGTATTTAATAATCGATATAGTTCAAAAGTTGAGTTATTCGGTTGCCATGGGTATTATGTTTTCAATTTAATTTTGAAACGAACATTTGACTTTATTCACAATCGAACTACCAACTAGTTAACAATAGACAACGAATGCTATTCATATTATATATGATATATTTGAAGGACATGCAGAAATCTCAATTTGATATTTCATGTGTAATTATTTTAGTATTGGCAATATTCAAAGATGTGTGTGCGTGCACAAACAAAAATGTGTTAAATGGTACTTTTCAATCATCAGTTTCAACAATGAACACATTTTCAATAATTCTTATACTCGATAACCAATTACTTCCTCCATTCTTTGTTTTGAACTTAAAACAAATTCCCTTCGCTGACCCGAGCCCGAATAAAATACATTAATGTGTAGGAGAAACACAGCTGTACGCACGGACAAGATTTCGGCACATTACTTGCACTTGTAGTTATTGTGAAGAGAGTCTTGTAAAAAACACGTGCCAGTGCACATGTGTGAATATTTAGCAACTTAGCAACGAAATGGCATCCATGAGTCATCGATATTTTAAGTGAATAAGATTCTCCAACGACAAGCGTGCCGATTTCTAGCTAGGTCATATTCAAATTGCCTTCGCATGTGTGTACACTTATTATCGACCACTCGCTACTCACGGTAAAATACTGGGATAGGTCGGTCAACCATTAACCCGCCAAACAGGCAGACGATCTGTCTCTGTGTAGATACCAATTTTACAACGGAAGCGAGATCAAGTAACTGATAACTTGAAGTTGTAACTTCACTATTTTCGCATGTAATAAATTACAATATACTCACTTTAGCTCCTATTTGGTTGCCGCACTGGCCAGCTTGCATATGTACGATTTCCCTCATTTTGATTTAGTGTGTGGGGGCTCTCTTTCGTTCCAAAATCGGTCAACAAATTTCCACGTCTGTTCGATTGATGGTGTGCAGGCGGTATTTAAACCCTGTTGAGAGCACAATTTATTCATCCGCCGTGACGAACCGCTTTCATTGGTTGATGGGCATACGAGGGATTATTTTCTTGTCCTGCATTATCGAATTACAAATATTGCAAGGCGATTTCAGCACAATTACAAAAATATCAAACATTTATAAGGGATTTGATAATACTTTAACTTACTAAAATGTTCGTAATGCACAAAGTTTAAAAAATAGTATATAGATAATCATCCGCGGTTGCTAGGTGGTGATGTCAACAAACACTATCTCAACAACTTTCATTTATTTACCTGTGGTAACCAACGATCAATGGTATGACACTGTTTGACATTGTTCCCGTGTACTTACACCAAACAAATCATTATATTTAGGATACCGGCTACGTTTTTGATGATTTAATGCTGACAATGATAGTTTAGTAGATATATGAACTGTTTATTTCCAAACCAGAGGGTATTGTATTGTCTGTGCTCGGATAGAGAAGTATATATTGAAAATATGTGTACTGGCCTATATGGGGAATTATGGATGTAACTTATCTAGCGTGTGGCGGATCGAAAGTCCCTTTTCAAATTTCCTGTGGGGAGTGGGAGGGAGGTTATGAAACCTAGAATCACCACTTCCCTGTGTTATGTCTTTAGCCCCTGAAGTCCTACGTCTATAATACAGTCATGTGTCCTTCCTGTATGCCATATTTAGTACCCCGGTGTCGTTCCCTTATCCATATAGGCTTGTCCTATCTAGTATCTTGGACTGGTATTTATGTATAGTTTTCAGTTCCAATTATTTATTTAATGTAATTATTTATCATTCCCACCCGGACCGGTTCTTTATTCCGTGTTTCATAAGTATGTTTCTACTCGCCCGGGGTTGCTTTCCTACCCATTATAGCTTACTTACTGCGATATCGCTGGGGTCGTTCATATACCCTGTATTCCAAGGATACCTTGATCGTTATATATTTCAGCTGACATCCCATCTGGGATTCCATTTTTTTCTAGAACATATTTTCATACAAATGCATTTTTAGGAAGGAAAAATTTCTAGATACCAGAATTATTGGTCACATATATTTTCTACCCTGATGTTTCCCATTACTCTACAGAGGACACCCTAGCCGGGTTTTTCGTACTTATTTTATAGATGACAACCCCTACCCCGGGGCTTTATTTATTTTAAAGGTGACGCCCATCCCCACCCTGAGGTTCTTCATTCCGGGGCCTTATTCATTCTAAATGTGACCCCCACCCTGAGGTTCCTCATTCATTCTATAGATGGTATCCCCTATCCCGAGGGGGTCTCGTTTATTCTATAGATGACAGTTCCTACCCCAGGGCCTCATTTATTCTATAGATTCCATTGCTAGGATTTACATTTGACATAAAACTTAAATATAAAGCTTACGTGGTCGCTATACAACACAACAGTCATACAGGACAAACATTTAAAGGGCCTTTGTGACGAGATCACACCACTCCTGGGGTACGACACAAGGCTATTAAATGGCATGTATAAATATTACATATTGAACTTTTATATTTCGTGTTTGTTCCTGTAGAGAGTTATAATGGGTCACTAGTGTATTGTATATATACAATACGTATACAAAACTGTTAGAGGCATGTATATAGGCCCCCGGCTTTATTTCGATCGAGGTATAATTACACACATTGTTAATTAACTCTATACGTATACCTATACATGAATATGGTTCTATAGGGACCATAGAAAGTATATTAATTATGCATGTGCGCATACAAACTGAAGATACTATACCTCTATTATTGTGTCTGGTACTCTGGTACTCTTCGACATTTTCACCGCAGAGGTGCTCACATAAAATATTCAACATGTCAGTAATCATATATAATGTATATGTATTTTTCGTGATTTAAAAGTCATGCAAAGAATATAACTATCTGCTTGAAAATTATAAAAAAAACCACCTAGGAGACCGATTCCAAAGGCATTTCGCTGGTTCTTACCTCTCCAGGATGATTTTTTTTTTATAAAATTTTATATTTTGGGGTTGTCGTAGTTTTGTGTTGGCAGATCACTACAGAAGGCAAATTAATTAATCATATCGGTGTTTTATTAACGTATTTTTGATCCGTAATGTTGTCCCGTTAGAAGATATTGCCAAAAAATGTGGTTGTTTGTTTTGATGCATTCTGTTATTTCTTCGATTATCGATCTTTTAAGAAAGAGCAGTTTGGTTAAACGTTTTTACAATAATGGTGTACAACGTCGCTGATAAATATATTACTAAATACTATCGATATAGTTATTGATATTTTACCTGAATATCATTTTATAATCCTCTTAATTGTACATGTAGTAACAGATACATCCAGTACATATAGTAACAAATAAACACAGTACATGTAGTAACATATACACAAAGTACATGTAGTAAAAAAACACCACAGTACATGTAATAGCATATACACACAGTACATGTAGTAACATATACACACAGTACATGTAGTAATAAATAAACACAGTACATATAGTAACATATACATAAGGTACATGTAGTAACATATACATACAGTACATGTAGTAACATATACACACAGTACATGTAGTCATAAATAAACACAGTACATATAGTAACATATACATACCGTACATGTAGTAACATATACATTCAGTACATGTAGTAACATATTCATACAGTACATATAGTATCAGATACACACAGTACATGTAGTAACATATACATACAGTACATGTAGTAACATATACACAAAGTACATGTAGTAACAAAAAAACACAGTACATTTAATAGCATATTCACACAGTACATGTAGTAATAAATAAACACAGTACATTTAGTAACATATACACAAAGTACATGTAGTAACAAAAAAACACAGTACATTTAATAGCATATACACACAGTACATGTAGTAATAAATAAACACAATACATATAGTAACATATACATACAATACATGTAGTAACATATACATACAGTACATGTAGTAACATATACACACAGTACTTGTAGTAACATATACATACAGTACATATAGTAGCATAGTACATGTAGTAACAGATACAAACAGTACATGTAGTAACAAAAAACACAGTACAAGTAGTAACAAAAAACACAGTACATGTAGTAACAGATACACACAGTACATGTAGTAACAGATACACACAGTACATATAGTAACATATACACACAGTAATATAGTAACATATACACACAGTTTATGTAGTAACATTTACATACAGTACACGTAGTAACATATACACACAGTACATGTATTAACAGATACACACAGTACATGTAGTAACAAAAAACACAGTACAAGTAGTAACAAAAAACACAGTACATGTAGTAACAGATACACACAGTACATGTAGTAACAGATACACACAGTACATATAGTAACATATACACACAGTAATATAGTAACATATACACACAGTTTATGTAGTAACATTTACATACAGTACACGTAGTAACATATACACACAGTACATGTATTAACAGATACACACAGTACATGTAGTAACAAAAAACACAGTACAAGTAGTAACAAAAAACACAGTACATGTAGTAACAGATACACACAGTACATGTAGTAACAGATACACACAGTACATATAGTAACATATACACATAGTACATACAGTAACATATACACACAGTATATGTAGTAACATTTACATAAATTACATATAGTAACAGATACACACAGAACATGTAGAAACAGAAACAACCAGTTCATGTTGTAACAAATATACACAGTACATGTAGTAATAGATACACACAGTTCATGTACTAATAGATACACACAGTACATGTAGTAACATATACACACAGTACATGTAGTAACATATACACACAGTACATATAGTAGCATATACACACAGTGCATGTAGTAACATATACACACAGTACATGTAGTAACAGATACACACAGTACATGTAGTAACAGATACACACAGTACATGTAGTAACATATACACATAGTACATGAAGTAACAGATACACACAGTACATGTAGTAACAGATACACACAGTACATGTAGTAACATATACACATAGTACATGAAGTAACAGATACACACAGTACATGTAGTAACATATACACACAGTACATGTAGTAACCAAAAACACAGTACATGAAGTAACAGATACACACAGTACATGAAGTAACAAAAAACACAGTACATGTAGAAACAGATACACACAGTACATGTAGTAACATATACACACAGTACATGTAGTAACAGATACACACAGTACATGTAGTAACAGATACACACAGTACATGTAGTAACATATACACACAGTACATGTAGTAACAAAAAACCACAGTACATGTAGTAACATATACACACAGTACATATATTAACAGATACACACAGTACATGTAGTAACAGATACACACAGTACATGTAGTAACATATACACATAGTACATGAAGTAACAGATACACACAGTACATGTAGTAACATATACATACGGTACATGTAGTAACAGATACACACAGTACATGTAGTAACAGATAAACACAGTACATGTAGTAACATATACACATAGTACATGAAGTAACAGATACACACAGTACATGTAGTAACATATACATACGGTACATGTAGAAACAGAAACAACCAGTTCATGTTGTAACAAATACACACAGTGCATGTAGTAACATATACACACAGTACATGTAATAATAGATACACCCAGTACATGTAGTAACAGATAAACATAGTACATGTAGAACCATATATATAAATTACATGTAGTAACAAATACACACAGAACATGTAGAAACAGAAAGAAACCAGTTCATGTTGTAACATATATACACAGTACATGTAGTAATAGATACACACAGTACATGTACTAATAGATACACACATTACATGTAGTAGCATATACACACAGTATATATAATTATAGATACACACAGTACATTTACTAATAGATGCACACAGTAAATGTAGTAACACATACACACAGTACAT